CGCCCCGGCCGCCGCCCTGCCCTCCCCTCCCCGCGCACGGCGGGCGGAGGAGCGAGAGGCGGTTTCCGGCAGAAGGGGGGGGCTGCCCCCTCCGCGCCTCCTCTTCCTCCTCCTGAGGAAGCGAGGAGGGCCCTGCGGCCCGCGGCAGCCCGTCACCTCAGGTCGGGGGAGCGGCCCCCCCTCACCCCGGGCCCGGGCAGCCCTCCCTCCCGCCGGGGGAGGCCGGGCCGGCTGCGGGGCTGCTGAGCCCCTACCAGGGCCCGGAGGCGGGCGGCCGTCCTGCCGGGCCCGGCCTCCGCCAAGGCGCCTTCCTCACCGAGCCCCTTTGGGGTCTGCCGGGCGATTCCGGGCTGCCCCGGGTGCTGCCTGCGCCGTGCCGCTCTTCTGCGGCTGCTCTGAAGAAGCAGTCGTGGATGTTGATATACATTCATTTGCCAAACCCGTTAACCCAGAGTCTCTCACACTGCTACTCAAGCCTCCTGAATACTGGTGCAGTTTTCACAGGCGTGAATGTACCAAAAAAGCCGATTGAAAAGTAAAGGGGTAGCTTACCTGGGTGTGAAATCTCTCTGACAGCGGCCTCATCATTGACTGGCATTACTGTTTTCTGACATCTTTTACAAATACGATATTGGATCTTTAAAAAGTCTTTACATTATTCTACTGTATCTTTATATCCAATTTTTATCGTTGTGCCGAGTCATCCTAGTGGTAGCTGTGCCCTCGGTAGGGCTCGGTACGGTCTGGCACAACAAATGGCCCAGGGTTCCCTCCAGAGCACCTTGCTTCTGTAGGTCCAGGAAGGATGGTGCAAATCTGGTCAGGTTTGGGCTTAACAGAAATGAGACAAAATATGCAATCCCGTCATTTCTCATACATGTTTTTACTGAGAACGTGCTGTAGAAAAGGCAAAAGGGTGTTCTAAAGAAAAAAAGATGCAGCCTAGACTGAAATGGTGGGAGATCTCTCTTTTGCATAAGCACATTTTGAAGATTGTCTGCTTTTTATGGTGAACAGAGACCACCCTGGAAATATGAAATTGGCTTCATTTGCCATGTAAACCCTAGTTTTAAGAATGTGTTTCTCTGGTCTAGCTAGTCTGTTACGAGGCACTATAAAAAAGTTGTAAATGAGCAAAATCTTACCCAGAGCTTTCATAAAAGTTTTTTTTAAAAAAAAAAAAGGTCATTTATAATTTTTCATAAGTAGACCAAGGGAGTACTTTTCATCTGAGACTAGCAGAAAAATCTGGTAACTATTTTTTGAGAACAAACCACATTGTTAAAACGTGAAATTTGATCATTACGGACTTCAGTTTAGCAATTTCATGTTGATCCTGCCAGACCCGGTCTGGCTCCTGTAGAGCCACTGCGTCTGCAGTAACCTTAGGCTGGAGGCAGTGCCAGACTTAACCTGGCACTTGTTGAAAGTTAGTTTGTTTGACTTTTTTTTTTTTTTTGTTAAAACGTGAAATTTGATCATTACGGACTTCAGTTTAGCAATTTCATGTTGACCCTGCCAGACCCGGTCTGGCTCCTGTAGAGCCACTGCGTCTGCAGTAACCTTAGGCTGGAGGCAGTGCCAGACTTAACCTGGCCCTTGTTGAAAGTTAGTTTTTTTGATTTTTTTTTTTTTTTTTTGCAAGGGAGGAAAGTGTTAGCTGCCTTAATTTTCTACTGTTTTAACTGCTTGGACCTCAGAAGCACAAGGGAAAGAAGCAAAAATGCAGGTGTTAGCTGGAAAGGGCAGGATTGCAGCAGTCCTGACTTAGATTTGCTTTACCTTTCAGACTGACACCCTTAAGGTTGTGAAGCAAGAGCAGGGACAGCTTACCTTGGTGTGGTTGCAGCCATTTCTGTCCTCAGTCTGAAGCTGCAAGTCCAGGGCTAGCATAGGAAAGCTGCTTTTACAGCGACTGCTGGTTTGGCACAGCTTGGTGCCTTACATACTGAGGTGGCCCCAGATCAGTTTGTTTCAGTGTACCATGATACAAGTTGAAGCAGTTTGGCTGAATCTTCCCTGCAGGTTGGCCATTAAATGCTGTGGAAATATAAATTATAGGAACAGGCAGACAACAGGAAACTTTATTTACTGCCTTACTTTTATCTCAGTGAGGAAAAGGCAACTGTTACAGAGTTTCTGTCCTCTTTATTACCCAGGAAGATGAGGAATGTCTAAGGAGATGAATCTACAATAGAAGTATTGGCCATATCTGGCAAAGAAAGCAAAAATACTGAAATATAAATTCCTGTAGGACATTATATTTCTGTCTTGTAGGAAAATGTGGTCCAGCTAGTGGCCTGTAGACCACATCTGACCTGCAGGACACTTTTCTTTAAACTATTATCTTTTCTTTGGAGGAGATGAAGATGTGTTTGCTCCCATAATATTGAACGCTTTCTATTATGTGTGGTATGTGCACAGATGCCGATGGCAGCCCATGTTGGGGCAAAGGATAAACAAAGGCATTTTTCCACTGTATGTTTGTGGCAAGGTACTAAGCCTGGAAGTTGTCACTTCTCTGTCTTACTGAGTCCTGAACCTGCCATCCAGTCCTATAGCCACAGACTGGAGTGCATAAAGATGGTAAATATTTTTAATTGGATATTGTTCCAATTTTATCTGTTAATTTATATTACCAAATTGACCAATATGTTTACATGTGTATGTGACTCTTGTGACAATTACATGCAGGTACTTATTAAGGAAAACTACTATATAGAAAGTAGTAGAAGGTGGAGGTTGTGGTGAGAGATGTACAGCCTAAAAAAATCAAAATTGTGAATGATTTCCTTAAAAGGAGATGCTGACATCTGAAAAACAAAGTCCTGTAATTAGGGTTTGGCTTTGTGCTTGCTCTCGTCTTAATACGCCTCAGTTCCTTGGCACAAATCTGCTGGTTGTTATATCTACAAAATGGAGAGGGCTTTTTTTGAGCAGAAGTTATGAAAATACCAAAGCAATGGAAAAGAAAAAAAAGCTCGTTGGACAGTTTATAGTCCTGATCTCTTTCAGATATATATTTCATTGTCATGTGTGCTGTTTTAAAATTTAGGGAGGTGTTATTAAAGGGCTGAACTAGACATCAAAAGTTGGGATTTTTACCTTTATAAATTGGTTTTAGAGTTTGTTTTTTCCTCTGACAAACCTATTCTTATGATGGAATCCTGAGAATCAAATTGCGTCTTGTTCTTGTTTACTTTTAGATGCCTGTCTTAGATGTCAAGCTGAAAACAAACAAGAAGATTGTGTTGGTATGTAGTGATTTCATTCGCTTGTTTTTCAATTGAAGCTTCTCTCAGTAGGGTGCATTTTAAAGTTTGAAGGGAATACTGATTTTATTAATGCTCAGAAGTAAACTGGTGTTTCATTCTACATTGTGTCATCTTTTTACATTAGGAATACTTTATGCTTTATTTTTGAGCACTAATAAAATTAGTTTTCACTTTCGACACGCTGTAGAACAAAAGAGCTTCAAATTTACAGTCATTGCATGGGCAACTGAGAGGCATAAGTTTCTTTCGCCCTGAGTATAACTGAGAAGATGATAATGTACCCTTTTGAAGTGGGTAGGAAAAGGTTACTTTTTTCCTTCAGAGGTGTATGCTAGAAGACACAATGGTAATACCAGTAAAAAGTTCTGAAATAATTGAGTGCCTGGGATAGAAAGTGATATTTTTCCAAGTCTTAATTCAGACACAGTGGAGGCAATTGCTTGTTTGTTCACTTTTCATTTGAAAAAGTGGAATCACTTGAGTTTGTTATACTGTTGTTTAAACAGAAACATACTTTATTTGCATACCAATGTATGCAAAAGCAAATCTTAACTTAATTCTGCTATATTTAAATCAAAAATAATGAAAATTGACTCAAAGAGTTTGTTTTAAACATTTAAGTCAACTTTTAAACCAGTGGTAAACTTTGCCATGCCCTTGTTCTTTCTGTTTTGAAGTATATTGTCTCAAACTTGATCCACTGTTGGTTTTGATGATTGTTTTGATGAGAACAGGAATTTCCTGTTCCAGATATCTTAACTAGCTTGCTAAGTGTCCTGTTTAAGATAGAGAGGGAAAAAAAACCCCAAACCCAAACATAATTTACAACACTTCTTCGGTTGGTACACTTGTATTCCCATAAGAAAAATGTGAACTAATAAGGGGAAAAAAGCAAAGTAACCAATACTATTCATAAGTAGATGGACAACAGATAACCCTTTGTGTTGTGTTGAAACAATTGTAGCCTGTAGACTTAGACCTGTATCCTGGTCTAAGATCCTGTTTTGAGGCTATGTACTGTGTCAAATGTGTCTCCTTGATTATCACACATTTCAGTTTAAACACTGCATTTCAGAAGACAATTGGTGATCTGCTCTTGTATGATAGTCAGCAGTTCAGTGGCTGTATTTTGATACTGGAGAAGACAAAGTAAATAAGTAGTTGCACCTGTTTCCTGGACAGAACTGATAAATGTGTTTATACATTCACAAAACAATGTTATTTTATACCATAAGTTGAAAACACGCATTTCTTTTCTTGTAATTGGAAATAAGTAAAAGAATTGATGACAGACCATAATAATCCAATCTTAGTGGATAAATCAGTAATGACCCATTTTGTCTCTGAAGCTTGCAGTGGTTATAAACCTCTGAGAATGGTGGTTTGGACCTTGCTGTAGGTGTTGACTGGCCAGCTGAGTGTGACTGGAATGTGTTCTTTCTTCTCTTTCAGTGGTTTGGGGAGAATGCAATCATTCCTTCCACAATTGCTGCATGTCCTTGTGGGTGAAACAGAATAATCGCTGTCCCCTCTGCCAGCAGGACTGGGTAGTCCAGCGAATAGGCAAATAAAAACACTGGCTGGAAGTTGTGGGTTTTTTCTGTTGAACTTGTTGAAACAGTGTATATCTTATGCCTTGTGCTCATGGAAAAGAATGGAACATGTCAATGGTGGCATGATTTATTTGGCTTATCTGCTACAAGAGCGGTGTGGTTTTGTTGTATGCTCTTTGCTGTACAAGGCGGCAATGGTCAGTCTCACTGCACGTGTTTCCACAACTGAAGAAAAGAGAGACACTACGTTAAAAAATGTATCTGTTACGATTTGATTGTCAACTGTATCAGAACATAGAAATGTGGTGGCGCAAACTATACCCTAAATACAGTTTATTTAATGTTTTTGCATAGATAAATTAATTAATTTGAAAGGATGATCTTACTGTCTGATATGCTGCATAGTTTAGTGTCAGGACAAAGAAATTGTTTTCTAAGTAATAGCATTTACCAAAACACAGCCGGTAAGTCTTTCAGAAAAGACTCTGTTTTATTTAATCAAAAATGAATTGTGGAGCATTTGCTATGTGCTTTTTCCATCACACTGTACTAAATATTTCTAATTTGGGTTTTCTTTTTGACTTTAGACAATTTTGTTTTGTTGTATTTCTAAGTCTGTTGCTGTATTATATTCTATACATGATTCCTACAACCATAGTATTAAAACTTAACCACATTAATAATTATGTTAATTTATATTTCTGTTAAAGATCATGGAGACATGTATTTTTAATCCAGAGACTTTTGGTACAAAGACATGTATTTGCTATCGCTTAACTAGTGGCAGAAACAATCTTGCTGATTAGCTGACTAATACAGAAGGCCAACATCCCAAGGAAGCAGGTATTAGGGAAAAATGTTAAATTGTGGTTTCATGAAAATTCAGTTAATAGAAATTTCTTTATCCTCATTTTATTGGTTACGGTGTTTTGGGAGAAAACACTGTTTCATTTTTGTGGAAATCCATGATATATCATCATTTTATATGAATCGTGTGATTCTTTTTTTTTTTTTTCTTACAGATATTTAAGTGCTTGCCTCTGACTTTGTCTTTTCCCTAAATATCCAAAATAATTACTATTAATCTGGACATGTGTTGTGGGTTTTTTTTCAATATATGTAATAGAGAGGTTGAATTACTGCTTTAAGTCTGTAGCAAATTCAGACTTAATAAAATGGTTAATAAACCTGGGTGAAATTGAAGCAATATTTTATGCATGTCATTGTTTTCTTCAAAATTATTACCTTAAATGTTTAATGCATTTCTCAGCAGATGTATTTCTATCTAGTTCTGTTTATTTTAAGTGTATTTAAAAAGGTTTATCTTCACTGTATAAAGTAGTTCCAATGGCAACCTTTGTGTCAACAAGCATGCATGGGGAGTTTACTGTGTTTTTGTTTAATACTTGTAATCTTGTTTTTAAATGTTTTGAATTTTTTAAATATAGCTTTTTTCTCATTACACACCAAGTTAAAAATAATCCTCTCTCTTACACTGTATCACATCAGTTGTTGTCTGTCTTAAAAGCAAATATAAAATAGGTTAACAGTATTAATGAAGTGCCTATGGCATTTACATTGCAGTGGAGTATTTCTGTTTGTGTAAAAGAATTCATCCTAAAATGAATGCAGATGTGGAAATGATTTTTAGCTGTCACATTTAAACTATATCTTATCTACCACCTATTTTCTCTGTCCCAGGCTCCATCCCTCTAATCTCTTTTAATTCCATCTAGTCCCATTGGAGGACTTCTTCCTACATTTTGCTTTGGTTTATAGGTGAATATGGAAAGTATCAAAGTAATTTTCACCTTGCTTTCAGTTCGTGTCACGTGCATGATAAGAGTAGCTGAAATTGTAATTGCAGATAAGTTTTTCCAAAGTGTCAGCTCAAACAGGTGTTAACACACATGAGGTATTCTGAAAGTTAATGTTGAAGTCAAAGCAACTGGTATTTGTGTATATCTGTTTGTGTATTATAAGTATCTTCTGGGCCAGCAATTACAGGTTCACCTAGAACATAAGGTAATGGATTTCAAGTCCTGTGTATTTTCCCTGTGATTTAGCTTATGTCCCAGTCTTTCCGTGAGAAATTTTCAGAGAAATTTTCTTCTGTTCCAAATCATACCCTGATATTCTATTAGTATAGTTCTTATTGAATACCCATTTTTAGTCCTGAATTTGTTCACCTCTTGTACACACAAAATAAATCCGTTTTGCTTCTCACCTGAACATAGTTTTATGAGTCTGTAACACTAACTTAAATAGCTATTATCAACTAATAGATTAGTGCTGATCTACTCTTCTCCACTGTTTAATAAATGCTGGGCAGATTTGGACAATTCAGCAAATCTGGCTAGAGTCTTCTCTCAAAAGGGACTGCAGTAATGAATATGTGTCCAAAGATAATATTGTTTCACTTTGCTTTTTACAAAGTTATGTTCTTTTAGAGGAAATTTATGCTCCATAGAAATCTGGAAAGATTCTAATTAACAGAGCAGAATGATTTTTTGGACCTGTGAATCTTTCTTATGCAGGTACTATAAACATTAGATATTTTCTTGATTTGCTTAGACGTAAATATATCAATAGCTGGTATAAGCTTGAGTTCACTGTTAGATGCCCAATGACCAGCCGTTTGTACTGCTACTGTTTGAGCTGTGGTGGCATGCTTGCTAAATGTGGAAAAAAAAAAAAAAGACCCAGCTGAACTTTAGGACCTGAAATTAAAGCTCTCATTACCTCCTTTCTTGGCTTTCTGTACCCAGAGTACTATAGGAATATGTTGCTGTGGGCACCATTTTCAGGAAAGCCACCAGTGGAATTCTGCATTTATTCTTTTGATTTTTTTCAGTTCTGCTGAGGCTGCTGGCTGCGTTATTTAGCCCTTTATGTAACCACCTCCTGCCCCGTGCTTGCCTTCACCTGGCAGAATTAGTGATGGCTCCACAAGCAAGACTCCCAAATACTCTGCTTTAGGGTACACCGCGTTCTCATGCACACAGAGCGGTTTGCGATGCAACTCTCAATCACAGCTAGAAAAACGTGCCTCTAATGTCATTTTGTAGAGCATAAGCATGAGTTATATGTCAAATGGATTCAATGCAGACAGGATTACGCATGTGAAAACAAATTACTACATAGTAGTAGAGTGACAAAAAGCAGCCAAGAAGGGCTTAGCTGTTACTGTAGAGAGTCTGAGAGATGCCTGTTGTTGCTTCTCATGTTTAGTGCTTGGGATTCAGCTCTTCAGCTTGCTCTAAGACTGAAAAGAGAGAAAAGGAAACTTGACCTTGACCTCAGGAGTACTGCTTGACCCCACTGCTACTGGAAGATTTATGGAAACGCTTTTCCTGTTCCCATAATACCTTCCTTATATTTAAGGAAAGTTTTAGCAGCCAAATCACGTGACCCCACAGTAGACAGGGGCTTAGCCTAGTAAGTGCCACACATGATTTTTATTCTTTTGGGGAAAAAGTGGGGCACAGGCTTCCTGGTAGGCAGCCAGTGAGTGAAGTCAGGCAGTTCACTTGTTTATAATCAGCTTTGTCCCTTTATTGATGCCACCTCAGCCATACACTGTTGCCACCATCTCATCTTGCCACTTACTGTCATAAAGCCACGCAGGGAAAATAAACTGAGGCCACAGTAGTTTACGGAAGTGTCTTGGCAAGATTTGGCTGGTCATTTGAAGTGTTTTTGCTTTTTCTGTGGGTAGGAGATGAAGTCAGAGCTACGTGTTGTTTTGTATATAGGGATCATTATTTTTAGACCAGCAGCAGGTCTTAGCCTCTGCACATAATCCTCTCAGACAGAGCCACATGAAGCATCAAGGTTTGCATGAAGTGTCTGTAGAGCTCAGTCGCTGGTGTTGAGTATGACTTGAGTTTTGGAAGGATGGATGCTCAAAGCACTGAATTATGTGATAATTTAAATCTCAATGACGTGTTTGTGTCAGCTTCTGTTTCAGGCATGGCAGATTTGTGATAAAAGCTTTGTATAAAACCAGATCCCAACTTAAATAATTCTTAGTACATTGGTGTTCTCTGTGTCAAGTAAGGGAGACAGGAGGCTGTCCTGTTAACTGTGGCCAGGGCGTCACTGAGTTTGGAGTGTGCATGTACTGCAGACAGGAATCTGCATGTGCTCAGGAGCCAGGGACAGTGCATATAGAGGGAATCTCAGTACATGACAGTGCATATAGAAGGAATCTATATTTAGATTTAAATTGTGAAAAACACCAGCTGAACTGCGCGCGTGTGGTGCTGCCAGTGAGAAGGTTTGCCGAGGATGTCATCCCGCGGCTATACATAGCAAACTCAAAGCTCCTTACAGAGAAACCTCTTACCAGTCACTTTCCACAAATGGTGCATATACCTAAAGGTACTTAGTGAAAATCCTTGAGAGGTATTTAATGCAAAAGCAGTTAGTCTCTCTGGTGTTTTTCAGAGGCAGCCACACACCGCTAGCAGGGAGAAGTGCAGGGCAGCTACAGCACAGCACTTGGGCCAGTTACTCATTTTGTCTCAACCAGGCTCTGCCACCCCAAGACCTTGCCAGGATGTGTGACATGGGGGGGCTCGATAACCTGATTGCCAACACAGCCTATCTGCAGGCAAGGAAGAGTGGAGATGGAGACACCAAGGAGATGCAAAAGAGACGTAAGAGCCTCTCACTGCCCAAGATTGATCAATGCGCCGAGGTTAGACAGTCCATTGTTGCTGATTATGACAGCATCTGTGAGCAGCAGCCCGTTGGCAAGAAGTTCTTCAGAGACTTCTTAGAGACAGTGCCAGAATATTTGGTAGCTAGGGACTTCCTGGATGAGGTGTCAAACTGGGAACTGGCAGAGGACAATATCAAGAACAGTACCATGGAGAATATGATCACCAATTTTCTTAAGACAGGCTCCAAAAACTATCTGGCTTATATGAGCTCTGATGTGGCGAGCAAATGCCAAGCAGCTACTGCAAAAGACTATGAGAATGTCATGCAGCTGGCAAAGGAAGAAACCAAACTCTTCCTTAAAGACAAGCCCTTCCAGGACTTTCAGACCAGCCCCTTCTATGACAAATTCCTCCAATGGAAAGTTTTTGAGAAGCAGCCGGTAACTGAGAAATACTTCTATGAGTTCCGAGTGCTGGGCAAAGGTGGCTTTGGAGAGGTAAGAGCTGTATTTTTAAGAATGTGGGTCATCCCTCCCCTTTCAAGACCAGCAGGTGGTTTGCAAAGAGGAACTTGGCAATGGGTTAGGAAATTGTCTAAGGTTTTGCATAACTTGCTCCTTCAGATTGTCGGTTACTCAGAAATTAGGCTGGGTTTGTTATCTACACTGTGACAAAGGCTGCAGATACCTCTTGGCGAAGAGTTAAAGTTTTTATATTATGCATTTATGTTAGTAAAAAAGCAGACTTCTTTACAAAAGCTTGCATGATTGTCCGTATAGTTAACTATTAGTCTGCTCCTTGGCGCTGTTTTAGCCTGTGCTGCGTTGCACGCTCCCAGGTAATTTCTAGGTGCAGTTTAGGGAATAGGACAGATCAGCATCTGTTCCCAAAACACAGTATGAATGAGCCTACCTTTTTTGAGATGAAGAGAGTTTAGCTATGCAGATGTAAGCTGTATATCCCGCTTATTCCCATGGTCAGAGAATGGGTCATTGTTCATTTTATTTGCTAATACATACCCACTAATGGTGTCCTCAAGAACTTTGCATAAGGTCCACTAGTCTGGAACAGAACAGACTGTATGCTTGCTTTTTCCTTATTTTCTCTTCTAAAATACTCTGCCATGGAAGTTAGCATCAGCAGCTACAAACAGGCATCTGTGATTCCCCAGTTCCTACCTATTACTACCCTTGATATTCCAGTCTGTATGTGTAAAATTTCTTCATTACTTTTCCTTGTGCATCTTGCTTCTCTAGGTTTGTGCCATCCAGGTGAAAAATACTGGCAAGATGTATGCCTGCAAGAAACTGGATAAGAAGAGGCTGAAAAAGAAAGGTGGAGAGAAGATGGCGCTACTGGAGAAAGAGATCCTGGAGAAGGTCAACAGCCCTTTCATAGTCACACTAGCTTATGCCTATGAGAGCAAAACCCATCTATGTCTTGTCATGAGCCTCATGAATGGAGGGGATTTGAAGTATCACATCTACAATGTGGGAGAAAGGGGTTTGGAAATGAACAGGGTCATCTATTACTCAGCTCAGATCACCTGTGGGATTCTGCATCTCCATTCCATCAAGATCGTGTACCGGGACATGAAACCAGAAAATGTCCTCCTGGATGATAACGGTAATTGCAGACTGTCTGATCTTGGATTGGCAGTGCAAGTCAAAGAGGGAAAAAGCATCACTCAAAGGGTGAGTAAAAATTCAGTGAACATGGGAAGTGGGAAGGGAAGCCGTTCTATTTCTAATGCATTATGACTCCAAAACTTAATTCCCTGGGATTTGTTCTTTGCTAAAGACCTTACGTGGTCATTTCATTCTAAGAGACAGGTGGTAAGAAGATTTGGTTAATTAACTCTCTAGGCGCTATATGTAGGTAGTAAAATAACTTGTGTTACACAGAAACAGTAAAATCAACTTGACCCATTGTTTCTGTTAAGGTAAACTCTTGAACCAGTTATTTTAAAGATGCCAACACAGATGTCTTGTGCAGTAGAGCATAGTCAGGGATTGAACCAATTAGTTGTTTGTTTAATGAGCAAAAGTCAAAGATGACTCCTCTGTGTTCAATTTTTGCTCCTAGAAGAATGCAGTTTCTTCCAGATTACTTTTAAGTGATGCTACTGGTTGTATTGCAGGTGTTCATGATGCTGCACAGTAAACCATTGCCAACCTTCCTCCCTCCACAGACTGATTCCTGAAAAAGTTAGCAGACTTGATGACAGTTTATGAGTGTACATGCCTCTGTGTGTGTAGGAAGAAAGGGATGGGTGACCACCTGGGTTTTCCTGTGTGAATTAGACTGTGCAGCACTTCAGCTGTGCCTCTGGTCATCCTAAACCAACCCAGATTTGTCACAAGAAAAATGTATTCAGGTAGCTTAGCTATGAATTAAAGATCTATATAATGAGTGAATGTGTCTGAAATACACTAAGAATATAAAGAAACAGAAACAACGTTATAAACTGATCTAACTGCCTTGTGTTAAATTGCCCAAGTCTTTCAAGTTACTCTGTAGAAATTCAGTAGAGGAGAGAGGACCCGCTAGAAGCCTTTTGCATCATGCTTTAAGTACCTACATCTTTTGACATTGTTACTTAATACAGTAATTTGAAGGATACATTATTTTTCCTGGCAATATAAAAAGTTTGTATTATGAGTGTTTTTATTTCTCAGTGAAAGAAAATATGGAAGCTGGTGGTTTTTAAGATAGGAAATAATTTTAAAATGAGATTACATTCAGTTATTTAAAATGAGATTACATTGTTATTAGATGTGAAAATACAGTTTCTGTGAAAGCTAAGGCAGGTTTTTATATAGAACTTGTGAAATGGGAATAATGTTTTGTCTGTGAAGATGGATTTTTGATCAGTGAACTTGAAGCTATAAACCTAACTGTGCTTTGTAAGTTATAGACGCATGTAGTTATGATGATTGGAAAAAAATAATTTTGTCCAAGGGCAGTTTTTCCTACTTGTATCTCTGTGGGGTTTAGCAGAAGAAAAAACAAAAACCCAAACAAAATGAAAGAATGTATTTAGAAACATCTCACCGCTTCTCTTGGTATTAGGGTAGAATCTCAAAGCAGTACTGGACAAGGCAGTTGTTCCTCCTCACTTTCTATGGCAGTCATCAAGTTGTTATAATGATTTTTCTTCTGTTGTTTTCCACTGTTTTTAGAAGCACTAGTCACTGTTAGGTGGGTGCTTTTATTAGAGCAAAAACTGCAATGAGTGATATAATACACGACTGTAGTGTGAAAGGTACTTTTATTCATACAGGAAATTGAAATATGAGAAGGAAAAAAATGAAGATTTTTATTTTTTTTTTCTGTATTATGAGGGAGTTAAATGAATAATAATTGCCAGTATTATTTTGCATTTCTGTAAACTAATCCTGTTTGAGTCATTTAATAGCTACTAGTGAAAATCATTATATAAGAGCTAGGTATGACTATTATTTATAGTAGTCATACACAGGAAAACCTAAAAACACCTTTGCAAAATTTGTTGCATTAAGCTTCACCATGTACCACTGTAATAAAATAAAAATGGTGCTGTTAAATTAATTTTTGTTGACTAATCACAGTTACATTGTGACTTAAAATTGGCAGAAAGTTTATATCCTAGCATGCTTTTTGAGTATGACTACCAAATTATTATCACTTAAAAAAAATCCTGAGAAAAGGTATTTGTATAGATTTGGGGTGTTTTTTCGCTCAAAAAGATACATGGCTCCAAGACAGATACATTAAATTAATCAGTTGCACCATTTTATGGACACAGTTTTATAAGGGCAATTTTATAAGCTACAGCAGAAAATATATTACTCTGGGCCAAATCTCTGTTGTCTTATCTGAGTGAAGTGCTGAACATCATAACGCTGGTTCTAGATTTTGGTTGATGGTCTGAACTGACAATTTATGAGAAGAATGCCTAACTTTGCTTTAATCATATTCATAAATTATTCTACTGCCTGAAAGTAATTAACTGATATCACTAGTACCAAATGAAACCATGGTTTAGCTGTCTGGTACAGTTAATGGTCATTTATTTCATATGTTAAGTTAAATTGTACTTAGCCAGTCTTACACATACTACGAAGAATTAAGATAGTATATTTGTTAAATTTAAGGTAGAAATAATTTTTAAAATTGTATCTATTGAAAATGAAGATTTTTATTTTTTTTTTCTGTATTATGAGGGAGTTAAATGAATAATAATTGCCAGTATTATTTTGCATTTCTGTAAACTAATCCTGTTTGAGTCATTTAATAGCTACTAGTGAAAATCATTATATAAGAGCTAGGTATGACTATTATTTATAGTAGTCATACACAGGAAAACCTAAAAACACCTTTGCAAAATTTGTTGCATTAAGCTTCACCATGTACCACTGTAATAAAATAAAAATGGTGCTGTTAAATTAATTTTTGTTGACTAATCACAGTTACATTGTGACTTAAAATTGGCAGAAAGTTTATATCCTAGCATGCTTTTTGAGTATGACTACCAAATTATTATCACTTAAAAAAAATCCTGAGAAAAGGTATTTGTATAGATTTGGGGTGTTTTTTCGCTCAAAAAGATACATGGCTCCAAGACAGATACATTAAATTAATCAGTTGCACCATTTTATGGACACAGTTTTATAAGGGCAATTTTATAAGCTACAGCAGAAAATATATTACTCTGGGCCAAATCTCTGTTGTCTTATCTGAGTGAAGTGCTGAACATCATAACGCTGGTTCTAGATTTTGGTTGATGGTCTGAACTGACAATTTATGAGAAGAATGCCTAACTTTGCTTTAATCATATTCATAAATTATTCTACTGCCTGAAAGTAATTAACTGATATCGCTAGTACCAAATGAAACCATGGTTTAGCTGTCTGGTACAGTTAATGGTCATTTATTTCATATGTTAAGTTAAATTGTACTTAGCCAGTCTTACACATACTACGAAGAATTAAGATAGTATATTTGTTAAATTTAAGGTAGAAATAATTTTTAAAATTGAATCTATTGTAGTCTGTCTGTAAGGTGATTTTTTTTTTTCATTTTTTCTGCTGTATAATGAAAGCTTATGAGCTTGAGTTGTTTGATCTTTCATTTGATTTCTTGTTTTTCATCTTAGAAATATCAGTAGCAGCAACTGTTGAGTTTCTTGTTTTGCTGAAGTACTGTTTCAGAGGAAAAAAAGTAATATGCATTTCTGGGTCATATTTTAAGAGTTTTCTCATACTCCATAGATTTCTATAATGCAAGCTACCCTTGTATTCAGTAAAGCTACTGTTATTATGAGATTTTATTCACTCTGAGTATGAAGATTCTATTTTAGTCTCATACTCTGAAATGAAGAAGCAGAACAGTGCCTTTTTAAAACTGGAGCACTTTCCTTCAAATTGTTTTCTGTAGGTCCAAACTAAATAGATGCTAAAGTAAAATAATGAAAGATTTTTCAAGAACTGCTTAAAAATCTCTCTCAGCGATTTAGATTTCCCTTCCTGAGTGCTAATCTTTTCATGATCTCTCTAGTTCTTCAGGTGTTGAGTGGATCTTCCTTGTGAATAAACAAAATGAAATAGAAAATGTTTCCGTACCTCTTCTATATCAGGAGGAACCAAGTAAACAAATGTGGAGTAGACATCTGATCTTAAGCACCTGCTTAAAAAAATGTTTATCTCCATGGGTTTGGCTGTAATTACGCTGGTATGAAAATGTCTCTTAATACCCTGTACACACCATAGACATATGACATAGTGAAACAAAGTAGCAGTTTTCCAACTTTTTTTCTATGTCTCTGCTGTATATTATGAAGAAGAAACATCATGTGATGACTTCCATCGTTCCTCATACAGGGTTGAATAGTACGTAATATATGGATTTATCTGTGTATTTGTTTATTAGAGGTTGCAAAACATACGTTAGTTGGATGCATTCTAAAAGTTTTGCACACCACTTGTGAGTGTACAAGCCATGAAAGATAAATTTGCTCTGCTTTCAAAGCATCAGAAGAATTCCTAGCCTCTCACATGTGAATAAATGCGCATCACCCATATATCAGCTGGAGGATCCCTAAGTCCCTTTTGTAAATCTTGTTAGGTGATTAGGTTATCACATGGCACAAGTGATAAGCTAGTTAATGACTTCCTGTTTTAGACATTTTCCAAGTTTTTGGTGAACGTTTTTATTAATGTTTATTATGTACTGTTTGCCAGCCAAACATTATTTTCTTTGTGAATTCAAAGGCTTTTTTAATTTTAGATGGGTAATTTTAACATGATCTTCTTATAAAGTCATGTGTGTTTATGTTGCAGAAAACGCATTGTGCAGCTGGTGATTTAGTACTTACGTAAATTGAAGAAGTAGTCTTGGTATCCTTTAAGTATTGTCATTACATGTGCTCCTTTTGAGAAGTATTTGTGTGCTCTCTACCAATTGTCTGTAACTTACATATAAAAAACCCCTACTTTCTGAAACCACGCTCCTTACAAAGGTCTAGAAAGAGTTGGATACTCAGCCTTAGTTTTCTCCCTTTCCTTGCAATTGCTAAGGCAGCAAGTAGAAACACCTGGCTTTGTGGTGAGTTCTAGTTTGAACATATATAAGCAGCTGTAAGTAATTGGTATGGTAATAATTACGGAGTTTAGAAAACTTTATTTTCTGTAAGGTGTGCTTATTTGTGTTTGTG